ATGAGATGCCCCCTATTTTTTTGAACCCCAAATTAAGAAAATGAAACCCTAAAATAGAAGTGAAAATTTGGATGATTGGCAGTGGCAAGTTGTTGACCTTTTTTGAGGCGATCGCCCTCAGTTTCCAGCATGGAGGTGCATGCAGTGCACTGTGGTGCAGAAGCAAAGGCAGCGACTGGGGCACCACACGCTCCCCCCCCTCCGTGGCAGCTGCTGCTGTGGGGAAGCAGGCTCCTAAGCAGGATGCCAAGGAAGAGCCGGGGGAAAGCAGCGGCCGCTCTGCGCTGGGCCATGCCATCAAGCAAACTGAGCTGAGGAAGGTGGTAAGCAGGCTGGGGGCAGGGTGGGAGTTTGAGAGGGGAAGAGGGAAAAAAGGAAAGAAGGGCAAGGAGAGGTAGCTGAGGCAGCTCTCAGCGGCAGCAGCTGCTCTTGATCCGGTGGTTGAGCCAGCAGGGGCCTCAGGAGGCGAGCCAGTCACCAGCATGCAGCCCGGAGGGGGAGAAGGGGGGGTGGCAGCAGGAGGGACCCCCTCAGCCCGCTCAAAGCAAAATCCAGGTCATATGCTTAAATATTTTAAAAGTTCCCCCAGATGCCCATGTTCCGTGTACAAGATGACCCCCAATTTTTTTTAGCAAAAAACCCTCGTCTTATACATGGAAAAATATGGTAACTAAGATGTACTACAAACAGTAGAAGCACCCACAGTGCATGGTATAAGGACTTTCTGCAGATAAGGATTCATTGATTTATTAGTATTAAATTCTAATGTGCTTTGTGAATAGATGATTTAAGAATAAGAACAGAGCCAGATGATTAGCAACTTGGAGGGCAGGGTTGTGCTATGTGACTAGTTATAAAGGCAAACGTGCATTTTATTGTAAAACGCCATCTGCTGTTTGGAAAAAATACTTTTCTACTTGGCACAATAAGACAGACAACTCCCTTAGTCAAGTCATTTTGTGCAAACCATGCCACTTATTAAAAAGTTCTCTGCATCTCCTTTCAAGGGTGTTTTGGAGGGCGGGTGGTGTGTATGTGGGACTGGTTTCTATAGTTGTTGCTCATCAGCCATTTTCTCTTAGGTGCTGGACAGCAAAAGCTCAGAAAAAGCCAAGAACTGAAGATGTGATATACATCTGCCAACCTTCATTCACTGGCACTGAAACTGAACAAACTCAAAACTGTGATCACAAATTCTGTTGCACACATAAAAAGTGCAAGAGATGCCTACAATGGATCTTGCAGCAAACAGAGGCCTCAACCTCCTACTGAATTTTCTACTTATTTTCCTGGTTCTTGTTCTCATGTACATCCTTGTTAAGCTCATGTGAATTTTTCATTTTGTTTGAACGTTTACTATTAATCACTATGGTTACTTGAAGCTTCAAACTTTGTGAACAGAAACACTGAAACAAACAAAACCCAGAAAAATCCACAACCTAAAAAACTGATTGGGGGAGCGTTGATTTTATCAGACAAATTAAGAACATGGATTTGCTGGTGTGCATTATTTTTGCACCAGAACAGAGCAAGACTGTACTTCACAAAAACTACCCCCTTACAGTATAGAATAACTGCAACATGATCGCCAGCAGAAATCATCAATACTATATATTTACGTATCTACCGAAGAATGGTTAGACTGTGGACTTCTGAGATTACAGACTCTACAAGTAGGACAAAGGAAAAAACTTAGCCCAAAAGGTGCATCGCAACAACCTGAAATACTGAAAAGAAAAAAAATTAATGACAAGGAAGAAAATAATGAAAGCACATTTATTTGAAGCAAACATGGAAGTTCCTGTGACTTTTATTTGGGGATGAGGGCAAACAATAATTAGAGGAGGTAAGGTGGCAGGGGTTGGAATACAGCCGAATTGTTTGCATGCTTATTCAGAAGTGAGTATTTCAGTATTTGATAGGCCTTACTCTACCCAAACTTACTAAGGAATAAGACCCATGAAATGCAGTGGCACTTACTTACTAGTGAAAATGCATAGATGTACACTGTTAATTATTCTGAACACTGAAAATGGGCCAATGTATTATTCCATTATAATGTGTTAGTCACAACATTTTTAGCAGACCAATACGCTCCCATTTAGTCTCTAGCTAGCTCCACTGGTCTTTCAAGCCACAGAATTTCTAAAGGACACACTATAGCAGTGGATCGATATGGCTAGAGTTCCAGAGGGATAGCCATGTCAATCTGTGGCAAGAAAAAACAAAGAGTCTTTAAGATGACACATGACTTTTAGATGCGTCTATGATTCTTTTACTTGTGATGCTCATTGTGGTGAATATACAGTAATGTGGAATCAAATTTTTAAAGAGACCTTTATGAAATTCAGAATGCATACATTTCTTCTACACTAGCTTTGCCTACAGATCTGTTTCACAGAATGAACGTCTCAGTGAATTTACTATAAGAACTTTATATGTCTTTGGGCACCTTTTTGAGATATGTCTGCCTGTCTGCATGCCCAATCAAAGGGAAACAGTCACCTTCAGAAGCAGAATGGCTGGCAAGAACTACTACATTAAATGGAATAGCCAATGGAAACTCAGCAATTGCAGATTACAGTATTCAAATGTCTGTGATACCACATATATATTGGAAAACAACTACAGACTTCTGTATACATTTCAGAAATCAGACATTGGCAATCACAACAAAAGAGATTGAACCGTCTGTTGCAATACCATTTTATTTAGATTCTCATAAGTTTTCAAACATGGGAATATTTCCAACAGAAAGACCATTCAATCCTGCAACAGTAGAATAGAAATTCTGCATATATACACTGAAAGCCCTAACGCTCTCCTGCCCTTAACCTTGAAAGCATTTTATTTATGTGTTTAATTCTTTTTTAAAAAAACATTCTGAACTTCTATTGTCACCTTCCTGAGAATTCAATTTACCCTCAGCATTCTTAGAATTCTACCACTTTGGTTCCCAAGATCTGGTTTGCAATATAACTCTTACCTACAAAGGCACAAGCCAAAATATTTAACTGCTCAATTTTATGTCTCTCTTTTGCTTTATCAGTCAGTTATTAAAGTTTATATGCAGTCTGGACAGGTCTTTCCAACTTTCTGCATACTGTTGAGGTCCTCTAAGATTGATAAAAAGTCCATATTTAGTGGGAAAGCTACACTCACATATGTAATATATACAACAGATATCAGAATGTACTGACAGTATTGTATCTTACCAGTGTTAAGAATTTCACTAATTTAAATATACAGATATATGTATCAAAAGTTTAGTTTTGCTAAAGAATGAAAAAAGATTGTACTTTGTTGGTTTTGTTTCGTTTGTACCTAATTGAGACATACCCAATAAATCTCCAAGTGTAGCCTTGGGGCTAGGAGTTTAAGTCAAAAAGTCCGTGGTTCAAATGCCACCTCAATCATAAATGCAGTAGGTAGCCTTAGCAAGTTATCGTTCTCTCATCCTCAACAGTCCATTTGCAATTATATGAAGAAGTAGTATGGACTACTTTACAGTCATTCTAGGAATTGGGAATATAACATTAAGTTAAGTGCTCTGAACTGCTACATAAATGCGTATCTGAACTGCTACATAAACCATTCCCAACTCTGTTCTATAGTGAACAGAACCACTTCCACAGCCCTTTATTTACCACATTACAGGGTTGAAATGGTGCCAATGTTTTCTTTTCCCATGATGCTACTCTCATACAGAGTATGAAGACCAGTTCCCAGTTTTTCTTTGCATCAGCACTCAGTGAATAATGAATGCTCTACTATTACTGTGTCACAGAAGTGCTCTATTTTGCATTGACCTTGAGGTTGGTATTTGCTATCACAGCAAACCATAGAACTGGTTTATGATTATTTTGGATAACAGCAGTTAAGAAAACCAGGAAACTAAAACAGAGCAACTCAATATACAAATACCTGAAAAAATAGTTTTAAGTTGCAAAAACAAAAACAAAAAAACCCCACCACCTTTTACTTTTGGAGGGCAATTCAGAACTCCCACCAAAACACATGGTTCTCACTTTTCGAGTTGCAGGCACTGTGAAGTAGTTGGCATCAGTGTACCATCTTCCATGTGCTGTGGTCAGGGCTCAGCTGTAATAATGAATGAGCTGGTTACACAAGTGACACCTGGCTACAGAGCTGGGAAGGACATACAACTTCCAGACTGAGCTGCATACATGGATGAGGACATGGAACGGTCTGGGCAAGTGTCTCGGTCACCTAAAAAAATGTGTAGGGCTTAATTCTGCAACAACGGAAAATCTATAACTAATTCAGAACAAAATTTGACTCTAATGAATTGCTACCATCTAGGCAAAAAGAAAAGGAAAAGAAGCCTTGGTTCCGCAGCATCAACAAAAACTTACATTATATAAATCACTGACTCAGGACATTCCAGACATTCAATATTCTATGAGATGCAGCATCGATCAAAAGAAAAAATGTTTTTATACGAAACTTTACCATTTTTAAGTGCAAACTACTCTGTCGCTCAAAATGTATTCATAACATACTCAAACAGGTGAAACAGAAAAAAACCTAATTGTATTCTCTCCAAGTTTATTTTAGCAAAATATGTTTTTGGAGATAGCAAGTTGTGGTAACTCGGGGATAATACACATCACCCGAAGAAACTGAGTTATTTACCTTAAATATGCTAATGACATAAAAAGCCTGAAGTCAATGGTCCCTAATTTAACACAGAGTTAGGCATGGATCAATTTCTTTAACTTTAATGAACTAAGTAGGCATAAATGTAAAGGTGATTGTGGTCGATGTATAGAGCTAGATAGAGTGATATTAATACTTAATTGACTTGCCCACCCATAAATTCCCAGTTCATTTCAATTAAAATCTTTACTATCAAAGACATCAGACACATGCTACACTATATGACTGTAGAGGACCACTGCTGTCATTTAATATGTTATTTGATGTCATTTCTCTTTCAATCCACTTGGTGGCAGCAAAAACTGAATTTCTGCTCTTACCTGCACAGGATGTTCACTTCCTGTTCTAAGTTCTTCAAGCTGCTGTAACTGCCAAGGAGATAAACTGTATGGCTCTTCAGAAGGCCTGGACTCTGGAGGGTTTGTATGAAATTGTTCTGTAAGCCATCTCTGAGTCCTCTCTGAGGGTTGAATGGGAACCCCGCTCACAGCCTGCGGTCCCAAAGTTATATATCCTTGATGAAACACTTCGCAATTGGATGTGACAGGCTTGCTTTCAGGTAAGGCACTATAGGTCATATCTAAGGCATGTCTCCTGTTTGAGGGATCAAGAACACCCAAGTCTTCCTTGCTGCAACTTTCAAATTTGTATTTGCAGTCCAAGGTAGAATTTCTTTTTTTCCCAGTTTCTCTGTCCTCCATCTTGAGTAATTCCATGCTGTTGTGCAAACAGCTTGTCCCATTTATTCTCAATTGTGGTGACACAGTGCTGTCTCTTCCCAATTTATCCATGCTTGTTCTGCACTCTGCTGAATAAACATTCCCATCCTGGCTACAGGTAATGGGTGCGCTGAGTTTAGACAAAGATGACCATTTCCTTACAGGCCTCAAGTCCTTCATGTCAAGAGAACTGTCCAGGATGCCCTGATGCCTGCTTGCGGCGGACCTCAAAAAGCTTGTACTCCATTTTGAACAGTCAGACTTCAGAGGTTCCCTATGCTGGGATAGTGAAGAGCTGGTATTAGACGGCATCACATGGGCAGTGGGAATCGAGACCAGTGAACGGCTGGGCTTAAATGACGAAGTACCACTTGAGGTGGAATGATCTGGAGGAAAAAAAATTCATCATGTGAGTGAACACAGCGCAAATAAGAACAGGTCAAGATTAAGCACCACAAAGAAATTAAACATAATGTGTTGACACAGATGAGATTATTTGAAACATACATGGTTTTTAATTCATGAGAGGCCTGTCTATATTGCAGTACACCAGGCACAGGCAACCTGTGGCCCCCCAGATTTGATAGACAGCAGCTCCCTCATCCCCTACCATTTGATGGCTAGAGCTAATGGGAGTCAGTCAAACAACATCTGCAGGGTCACAGGTTTTCTCATCCATGTAGTATACTAACAGAATTTGTGGAAGAGATACAAGATGGAAAAACTATAGTTCGCTATATACACTAAAACTACACAGGACTGAACTGATCTCTGAAATTTTCAGGAAGAGGGTGGAAAGCTGCATCAAATGTGATTTTGCTTTCTTCCGCTCCTCATGCTTACGACATTCTAACGTAGAGGACTTGAAAGAGGAAAAAAACCTCACACGCATGACCAACATAGACCCCCAACAAACACCTGCCTGGCAGCACCCTATTTGTATGTTTTAATGACCTTAATATGTGTCAGGGAACTGCCATCGGAAGGACAGGAGGTGGAAGGGCTCCCTGAGGTTGAGACAGACTTAGCAGCTGAAGAGGGAACCAGCAGGGGGAGAGGAGGGGCTCCAGGGGAAAGTGAGTCGGAGGGATGGCTCAGAGACACTTCCAGCGAAAACAGTGGGGAGGTTTCAAGACCTCCTATAGGGACACCCACTCCTCGCCGGAAACTGTCACGCCGAGAGTCCAGAAGACGTGTTTCCGTTAAGGAGCTTTTATGCTGGAAGAGATTCCGTAAGAGACCACTTTCGGATTCTGCTAGCGACTGACGGAGCCATGCTGGAGGGGCTCCGTCGTAGGCAGAGGTTTGAGGACTTGACCAAACTCTGAGGGACTTGCATTTTACGCACAAGCAGCTCATCATCCCATTACAATATGTAACCATTTTCCCAAAACAATTCTAGGATAATAAGGAAGTTACACTAAACACTAATGAAGAAATAAAGGCTTATTAGTTTCCTATTTAGAATATCCACTACTAAATCACATGGTTTTGCTAATAAAATTACTGTACACCTTCAAACATATAGGTAGATAATATCCTGGAACCAAATGTGCAATTGCACAAAAGAAAGGCACCTTTATTTATGCAAGGAGGTGGGATCCCCAATTTTGGACAGTTTTCCTTTGGTGTTGTGGCCCCCTGCAACATATGCCATGCTGCTCAAAAGAACCCCATAACTCCCAGAATAGGTTTTGGCGAGGGGTATTCATGCAGAGAGATGTGGGAGGTAGAAAATCTGGCTGATAGAACAAGAAGTTAAAATTCAAGCCTTTGTATGCTGAAAAATAACACAGTATTTAGCATTGGTATATTGCTAGTGCCTCGCCTCTTCCATTCTGGCTCCATTCACCATCTGAAATATCAGTAGGCGTATAGAAAATGCCAATGTGCCAATGTTTCTAGACGGACAAGCAAGTTAAAATTAACAAAGGTGAGGCAGAGGTTACTGGAATCTGAGTAGCAGCTCTCCTATGCCTAGCAACTGCTGCTTTGCATCAAAGCCTGCAGACTACCAAAAATAAGCAGCTAATCCTGGCATTAGAATCTTAGCCTTTACAACGTCACGTGGCTCAACCTTCCCCCAAGCTGTTCACGTTGCTGTTACACGGGAGGCTTTTTAAAAAGTCTTACTATTTGTTCTTAATCATCGTGATCTGCTACAGTTACAATGTATGGTTTTGGGGGAAAGAACAAAACAATTCCAAGGCTTCTGAGTGCTCCATGCCATTATGGTTTTCCAGGAGAGTAATGCTTAGCAGAATTCAGGTAAATCATGTTAAAGGCAATTTAATCCTGTTCAGCAGCTCTCCGCTAATGGTGGCACAGAGGATCAGACACACAGATCTCAGGAAGGAGCGGGGAAGGTGTCATTAAAGATGTCATTAAAAAGCCATATTGTACACAATTGTGTTATGGAAGGTACAGTGTTCCAGAGACCAGACTGTACTTGACTTGCAAAAGTATGTTACTTCTCACATGACATTTCATTGCCATCTCTCTTAACTACAATGGCCATAGTCCAAAGATGTCATTAAAAAGTTAAAATTGTTGAAGTATCTAGCATACTGAATCATATACAAATAAATGTACATACTCCAAAATGTTGACAGATCCTTTTGGAGGACTTTGAAACAAGTGGCCAATTCCTTTTATATTTATAACAACTTGCAAATTAATAAATAAAGCTACATATCACAGTGAAGGAAAGAATGACAATATTTAATACAGTGGTACCTTGGTTTTCGAATGCCGAAAACCCGGAAGTAACTGCTTCAGTTTCTGAATGCGCCTTGGAAGTCGAACAGGAAACGTGGCTTCCGCTGAGTGCAAGACCCTGAAGCCTAGCTGTCGGCTATTGAGTTTCGGTTTTCCAATGTTTCGGAAGTCAAACTGTCTTCCAGAACGGATTACGTTCGAAAACCGAGGTACCACTGTATTTTCTTTTTCACTGGATCTGAGCCTATAGAACATTCTAAATTGGAGTAAATTCTGAAGCCATACTGTACACAATTGTGTTATGGAAGGTAAATGTTTAACAGTGCAATGCTATATTAATCTACTCAAAAGGCTGTAATCCTATGCCAGCATCTGTAATGCTGCGCACACTTACTTGGGAGTAAACCCCACTGAATTCAATAGGACTTACATCTGAGCAAAATACACACAGGATTGCACTGCAGAAAATGTACTGACACTGACTTCAGCTTAACACTGACACCTTCAGCTTCCTGTGGCTATTCCTGTAAGAGGAGTAACCATAGCAGTTTCACTCTGAATGCCAAACTATTCTGGTAGCTTTGCATGCAAACTGAAAGAAAAGGTCATCTTTCAAGTTTCTTCTTAAATCAAGACTCTGGGAAAGGAAGGGTTGTGCTTCTGTGTCTCCTACATGGTACTGGGCTCTTTCAGAGTCCAAGGTCCTGAAATCTTTACTGATGATCATCATTTCCAACAATTAAGCAGGGTGAAACATGGAATGTTAATATTTAATTAAAGTTTTAGTTGATTAACCACAGTGATTAGTCAATTAAAGCTAGTATCTTGTGCTCCTAGTTTATAGCATAGGGACACCAGCAGTCAAATCTTGTCTGTTCAAACAAATAATAAAAGGCGGTTTGCCACGTGCGTTGTTCAGAAGTTCTGTTACCGGGTTATTGCCATCTATTCAGCCATAATTACACGAATGCCCCTGGGAAAAGAATGATAACATAAATGCACACTTGGCTGGTTTCATTCTAACTGAACTGTACACACAGCAAGACAGTGAAACCATTTTTACTTAAGGAGTTGTCTGCCAACTTATAACTGTCTACAAGTTATTTTTTTCTATTTGAAATAAATATTTGCTTGCAGATTTTATTTTTCTTCCGTTGCAAAACAGTCTTGTCCCAAACCCTGAGATTGGGTGTGGGTTTCTTTTTAACTTGTGCCATTGCTTTTCGGTGGGTGACATTCGACCAAGTTTTACTTGGAGAAGATGCACTAAAATTAAGCAGCATAACCAAGGGCTCATCCACACAGCCACTAGAAAGAATGGATGTGAGCAGCTTTCCACTTGGCCCACGCTTTCTGCTCCTTTCCTGGGAAAATCCACTCTTTTGCTCTAAATTGGAACAAATGACAATCCACAGAAAACCTAAAATGCCGTTTGCAGTGACTGAGTGCTAGAGAGCGGTTTTCCCCAGGGGAAAGCAGCGGGACAAGAGGAAGTGTGGATAAGCCCTAAGTTGGGTCCATTTTAAACAGTACATGGCAACTTTTAAAGGCTACAAAAGACAGACGCCAAAGCAGCTGCCATGGTACTGTGCTGCACTTCTTCAGCCTAGGAAACAACACAGCACCATGGTAGGACCTGTTCCTGGTAGCCCCTGTAGACAACCTATTTGTTGAGCACTCATCTTGATCTGCTTGCACAAAGCTTATGCGGAGGCTAGATTATATCCAGCCTTTACTGAGCATTTGTTCCAATTTGGTTATATGACAATGAACATTGACCCTGCATTCACCCTGATTTGCTTGTGGGGAGTTTATACCCTTTCCCATAATTCATTTGTTCATCCCACACTTTTCAACACATTTTCCTATCACTTTCCAAACTGCAAAAACTCTGGGTGTTGTTGTTGTTGTTGCTTAAAGTGGATATGTTGCATCAGGATGCAAGCCTCGTTTTCCAATGTTCCTGAATCCCTCCCGTGAAACACTGACAGTCTGAATGAACCCTAACCTACTTGCTTGACTAAAATGACAATTTGCATAGCATAAGCACTGCTCTGTTGGATCAGATGAATGCTTCCAGGGAGTTCACAATCAGCCCTCCTCTGTTGTCTGTCCCCCCGCAATTAGGATTTCAGAGGCATATTGCCTCTGAACATGTAAGTCCAATTATCTTCTATTTTTGACTTCTTTTAACTTCTGCGTGAACCTTGCAACAAAAGCAGCGGTGAACTGACTCTTTCAAAACATGGGAGAAATAAGAGCAAGAAATATAGTATTGCAATTATCCTAGCTGTACGCTTTCTTCAAACCCTTGTGGCTGTGGTCCTGAAATTCCCCAATTTTACGATTTGCATTGTTTGTCTACAATGTGATTTACAATTCTATGTGTCTCAGCCAGGATTTAATGCCAGTTCTTCTGGCCCCTTTTCATCTTCTCCTCTAAGGAGATATCTTTGCGCATCACTACCACACACAGGGTCACAGTTTTGGTGGTGATCACATGTGGGGTACCTAGAATCAAAAGGAGGTGCTCAGAACCCCATTCTACAGCACTGTGACAAATGCCACACAGAGCCATAGTTGGGAATGCGAGCTACTTCATCCTGTGCAATGTATACTTCTGCACACGTAGAACCTGATATATAAAAGATGTAAAAGAATGATTCAG